CGGCACGTACAGAGGTGACAGGACAGTTTTATTGATGTCACTGCTTTACAGGATGGGGTTTCTCTTTGGCCTTGCCAGGGACACGGGCACCCCTTGCACTGACAGGGGACCGGCAGGGGCTGGCCGCGAAGGTGAGCTGGATGCTGGCTGTGCCAACCCCTCTCCCCACCACGGCGGGTTACCTCTCCCACAGGCTGTAGTGAGAAATCCGTGTTTCTTTGTTGAGGAACAAACCACCTGTTCAGTGAGCTTGACCCCAAAAGCAACTCCATAGGCCATCGAGGCGCTGAAAATAGGAAACACTCCTCTGCAGGGTATTTTGCAAATCTACAGTGGTAAAACACACACAAATAGAACCTGCACAGAGCAAAGACAAGACGGGGAGTCATCCCTTCTCTTGAAGCACACACATTGAACACTGATACAGCTCTGTCCCCTGCACAGGCTTTTGGCAGTGGATTCTGCTTAAGCATCTGAGGGTCATGGCTGGTGAGTTATTTGCCACATGAACTAGGTTTGGAAGAGCAACAGGGACGTGAAAGTGCCATGTCTGCTTTTGCCTGCCCTCCTCCTCCAGGAATCACAGAGATCCCCTTTTGCTTCATTAGTCCCCCTCGGGTTACCCTCCTACAGAACCTGTCAACTACGGGAAATGGATGCTCTTGGCATTCATCTGCTGAGCCACAGCCTGTGGTCACTAACAGCTCTCCTCGGAGGGCGACTTGGTGCCTTGAAGGATCAGCGCTGACGCGGACGCCCTCTTCTGATGCCGCCACTTGGCCCGCCGATTTTTAAACCAAACCTAGAAAGTGCAAAACAAGAAAACAACTTTTGCATTTTGTGTGTTACTTGGAGAGGGGCAGGCAGGGCTGTACAACATAAGCTTTGTGAGACTCTAATACCTTTCCCAACATGAAAGCTTGATACAAAATTTAATCAGTCCCTCCCCTGCTCAGATACACGTAAAAGGCACAAGGGAGCTGGGACCCCCCATGGCAAATTCAGAAGACAAGCAGATCAAACAAATAAGGAATATACACTGGGTGCAGGGGATGAGCAGGATTGGGCACGTCTGTGTGTTTATACAGGCAATTCTAGGAGAGAGGGAGTGCCTGAGTTTATGGGACCGGACACCAGAACGAATCAGCTCAGCAGAACTGCTTTACCCTCTTCCAAACCTAAACCCTGTTTTGTCAAATACCCAAGAATAGTTTTTGAAATGAGACCCTGGGACTGCAGCTCCCAAAAGAGACAGCACAATGACCCGGTCTGCGTTCTTGGGGGGCTGCAGCCAGCAGCACCTCACCAAGTGGCAGGATCTCACCTCCACCCTCTCCTCCTTCAAGTGAATGCGGTTTGCCAGGTGCTCACGGGTGATGACGTCCGGGTACTGGTTCTGATGGAAAAGCGTCTCCAAGGCCTGCAGCTGGTCCTCAGTGAATATGGTGCGATGCCGGCGCGTCCGGCGCTGTATCTGGTGGAAAGTCTGCAGCTCGCTGGGGTTCCCCTGGGTGTTCTTACAGACCCTGACTGCTGAGTGGAAGAGCCGCACGGGCCAGGGCAACCGGGCGTCTGCAAGGGGAGAGGTACAGCGGCAGGGTTAGGGGTGGGGGGCTGAAACACCCACCTTGCTCAAGGCAGTTCAGGCACAAGTTGCATCCACACACGCTGTTTGGAAGGAGGCAGCCGGACAGCTGACGTGGGTGCTGAGCTGCCTCGTCACCATGCACGTGAGAGAAGGGCTTGAGGCATCACTTTGGGAGAAGCGTGTAGGTGGGGAGCACTGGTTGGGTGTTCTTCATTTACTTACCAATTGCACTATGGCCAGCTCCAGAAGGTGGGTGGAAACTCGCAGCCTGGTGAGGAGTTGTGTTTCAGTCCTGACAAGGGGGATTTCTGAACTCTTGACCTGCATTTTTAACGGTTTGCTACTTTTTTTTTTTTTTGCTAGTTGCAGTAATTTTACTAGATGTAGCCAAAAGCTCTTAAAGGACAAGTGAAGTTCCCCAGGGCCAGTGTTGTCAGGAAGCACAGGCACAGCTCTGTGCATGGGCAGCATGACCATGGGGCCCCACACTCCACTGAGAACTTCCACCCTGGAAGCATCAGCCTCTCGAGTGTTTTACACTAAACCAGTCATATCCAGTAATAAATAGCACCTGCTGCTTTTAAACCCGCAGTAGCACTGCAGGTAAAAGTGCCTGCTCTGGGAAGCCATGCTGAGAAAGGAGCTCAGCTCTCTGGAGCTGGGGTCTGAGACCACCATGGTGGCAGGCCGGACGCTTACATTATCAGTCAATGCCCAGGTTTTCCCCTTCCCCCGGCGCTGGCACCAGCCCCTCCGCAAGCCCTACGCTGTGAACCAAACCCAAACACTCACCCAGCCAACTCGGCGAGTCCTTCAGGGAACGGGCTTTTGTGTGAGAACAGCAGCAGCAGTAGCAGCCTGCCCCGTCCAGCTCTTCCTCCTCCTCCTCCTCCTCCTCCTCCTGCAGGGAGCTGGCCGGGAAAGTCCCCAACTCACACAGCCCTTTGGGTGCGCAATCCAAGATGCTCTGGAGGCACAGTGGGACCAGGACCTGGGGGCTCTTCTCTGCTGGGCTGGAGAGGATGTCCTCAATGCTGAATGAACACGGCTTCTTGAGGCCTCTGCTGCCGGCGCCAGTGTCCGACGCTGGCTCTGAAGACATCGTCTGCCGGCACCAGTGGCTGCAGGACCGGGCAGCTGAGGCTGACCGGGACTTACTCTCCGTGTGCTAACTCCAGAGTGGGGTCTCGCAAGGAGAAAGACAGCTTAGATAGCTTTTAAAATGGACTGGCAAAGCTGTCCAGAATTGCTGCTTTGTCTTGGCATTTCAAGTGACTGTTATTCTCGCAGCCGAGTTTTTATTTTATACACACATGCACTTTTTCTCCTTCTAACCTAGCTGCTTTATGACTGAAGCAACCCTAAATATATATATATAGAGAGAGAGATATAATCCCTTTGGAAAGAAACCCATAAACCCCCCTGTGAAGAAAATAAATTCTAACTAATCTTGGCAGCTTTGTGAAGGGTTAGTGTGGATCTAAGATTTAACTAATCCCACAAAAATGACTGGAGAAGGAAATCTGATTTCTCCATCTCGGGTGTAGATTTGAGGTGGTTATGATCTCCATTGTGCTGCAGCCTCTGATCCAAGGAAGGGGGAGGATAGCTGTTCCCAGCCCGGAAATGGACCAGAGGATTAACTCCTTAAAAGAGGCAAATTATCCCTTTCTCTGGCCAAATGATAGCTTTCCCATCAAAAGAGAGCTGTCATATCATACAATATGAGAGAGCAGAGAGTTCAGCTTAATAAAAAATCATTTTTAACCATAGCACAGCCTTTGGCTGTGCCAGAACTCTCTGCAAAAGTTGATTTATTTTCTGCTGAAAGCAGAGAAATTGTATTTTCCCTCCTTCTTCCTTCCCCCACCTCCGCTGCCCTAATCACAATGATAATGCAGATGCTTTGCATGTATCCAACATACTCTTTGTAAGGATTCAAAGCCCTTAATAAATTAGATTACTGGCAGCTCGCGGCAGCTCTGTGGCATAGCTTATTGGCATGTAGCCGCCTCCTGTACAGCTGAGCCGTAGCCCTGCTCGGCGTCAGGAAGGGAAGGGGAAGATTGCTGCCTGCTGCCTCCGTGTGCAGGCAGGCAGCGAGGTCCCGCGGCAGCACGGGCAGGAGTGTGGTCTCAGTGCCACAACTAATGGGCGGTTCAGAGAGCCCAGAGCAGCCACGCTTTAAAGCATTGTCAGTTCAATTCCCAGCTTCTGTCCAGCAAGAGAAACTGGGATGAAGCTGCGTCCAAGAGCAGTGACTCAGGACGGAAGAGGACGCCTGGCACCGACCCTGCCAAGGGCAAACAGCTAGGCCTGGCAGATGCAATCCACAGAAGGAGGGAGGGCATCTTCCACCTTGGGTTCATAACTGAGTAGCTGGGGTTAAAATAGAGAAGGTGTGGTTGAGCTCAGGTTGCTTAGGAAAGATTAAACCCAAGGTTTCTTGCCCTCAGTGTGGTTTAAGCCAAGGTGAGTAGCAAGGCTTCAGGAGCTCACATGGGGAATGTTCTCCTGCTTGATGTTTCTTTGCAGGGGACAGAAGCCATCAGTCCCACTCATGGCACACTGAGGTGACGCACAGGTGAGTGCTGTGAAACCACTGCACATCCGAGGTCCTCATGGCACCTCATGACTTCACGCTGAACAGCCCAGCAACCACTCAAGCATCATGCGAAAATGAGAGCCAGTCTCCAGGAGAGCCCTCTCTCAGTCCGCATTCTTTTATCTTTGCCTCTGCTTTCTGCCTGCCCTTCCTCACCCTGCTGGTCTCCCAGTGCCAGGAAGAGATGCCCCATAGCCGCTCTACCTGTGACACTCAAGTCTCTGTAAAATCTCACTTAAAACCAAACCACTTTTTTTTTTCTTCCATCCATTTATTTGCCTCCTCTTCAGCTATTCCAATGGTGTAACATAAATTATAACCGTGCTCTATGAAACTTTACATATTCGCTGTAGGTTTGAAAGGAAGACACCTTCATAGCTGCACGGTCTGGACATGTTCACTGCCGCCCTGCTGAAGTGTCAGCACTCCAGAGAGGCACTGGGGATGCAGTAATACCAGGGATCATCGCAAACTACTCCCAGCTTTTATGCACATACCCAAATGCTGACACAGGAGATGGATGTGGGGCCAGGTTCTGCTCCCCACACTGTGCTGGTCCAGGGCGACAGCAGGCCTGAGCCGGGCAGGCTCAGGATCCGATCCTTTCTGTTCTTGGCTGTAATAATCATGCACCCGAAGCGGATTAATTCTCCTTCCCCATCCTTAACAAAGGGCGCCTTTCCCTGGCCTCCCCTGCCCGTCCCTGCCTTCCCACCGCACATGCACTTAGCCTATTAGGATCTCCGCTGATTGCTTTCTTTCATTCCTCCCGTACCTTTCACTTCAGAAAATGGACTGGTAATACTTCTTTTATCAAAGAATTATGGGATTTAGGACCTAGATCTTACAAAGAGACTTTTGATAGCTGCTGGTAATCAAATCCCAATCGGCAGACACTTCTCTGCACCCTGTTACCAGAGAGGAATAAAGGAAAGGGATTATTGATGTTCTGTTTACTGAGCCTCCAGAAGATAGGATCGCTGGGCTATTTCATATTAGAAAAGAAAAATAAAACAAGAAAGAAAAAAAATGCGGACAAGAGAGGACAATATAGATATAGATAAAAAGAAAAGAAACAGGCTCTTATCATTTTCTTATTGGTTAAGAAGATTCAAAAGCCATTATAGAGGATTAGCAAAAAGGTTAATCTGCTTTAGCTGTTCACTTGTCAAAAGTGAATTTATAGGGTTTGAAAATCCTTCCTATGGTGAAACCAAAAAAAATCCCTCTCTCCCTCCCCTGCCCCTCTCTTCTGCAGGAAGCACAAGGGGATGGGAATGGGAGCTTTGGAGACCCTAAAACATGGGAGCAGCCTCCCCTTGCTTTGCCCCTGTCTGAGTGCTGGCACCCATGGAAGCTCTGGTTTGGCAGCGCTTCCCCCCACTCCCTCATCAACCCCCAGTCACAGCACAGCCCCATGTGCCCCACAGGCCTTTCCTCTGCCAGACACAGCACCCCATGGTGGAGGTGGCAGCTGCAGGCATGATTTTGGTGCTGTTCATTCATTTTGGGGCTGGGGGAGTCACCATTCCCTGGAGGGGGAGCGCACCCCTCATGCCTCCTGCCAACCCACCACCACCTCATGGGTCGAGGCAACATGGCCTCCAAGCGGGTGCCATGACAGAAGCTCGACCCCAGCCACTACTCCCCACCATCAGCAGATGCCAAACAGGCTGCTGGGCCAGCCCATGGCCGGGTTTTGACGGAGTGGGGTTGGACTGGACCCTGTAGAAGCCCTGTCACTGGGAGGCGACAGCGCCGCACTGTTTCAGCTCCCGTGAGTGGAAGGATTTCATGCACACGGGGTGGTCCCAGTACATTCCTCCGCCTCGCTCTTCCCACCCGGCCCATAAAGAGTTTCTGGTGAGCTCTTTGCTCTGCAGGTGCTTCTGACTGTCATGGGGACAGGTCTGCTACTTCCTTTCATGCTGTTTGAAGTTCACTTGAGCCAGAAAACTGTCCAAAAGGATAAGGCAGACACCCAAAGTGACCTTGGCACCACAATGTAGCACAAGCAGTTAGGAAGTGATCTAATTCTTCTCATCTCTTCCACTCAAAAAAGCTCAGAGCTGCTTGCAATCCCACAATTGCAAAACAACTCAGGCAGAAGAACAAGTGAACAGAAAATCAAAATTCAGCAAAAGGATTTGCAAGAACCAAGGCAGTTTGTGTTAGAGAGAGCCTGGATGCTCCTGCAAGCCCTGCTCCAGCCTCCTCCCCACCTCCAGAGCGGGAGAGGGGAGCTCCCACAGCAGATCCTCCTCACAGTGCTGCAACAAAAGCACCTGCCTGGAACTGGTGAACCCCAGGTGCAACTGCAACGCCCAGCTGAAATCTCAACCCCTTTAACATCAACAGCAAACTCCATGGATGCTCTGAGACATCTGGTGCCTCTGCACTACCCCTGCTTGGACACACCCAAGTCAAGGACCCAAATTTACCCTGGGAACCCAAGCACTATAAATAGATCCTCCCTTAAACCCACAGCCACAAAAATCAGAGAGCCCAAACCACTGAGAGGCATTGAGATTTGCGATGAGATTGGGGCTGCTGGTGGTGCCAGGCAGGTGCTTCACCTTGGGCTTAACAAGGCTGCAATTAGCCAGGGGTGAGAGCACAGGCTGTGCAAGGGGGATCCCTCCATGGGAATTTGTTTCTATCCCTCTCTCAGGGCCGTGCACAGGGGGAGGTTTGGTTATAGATGGGTCAATAAACCCAGGTGGGATCGATGGTCTTTGCTGGGGTGAGAGTTGGTTTCTGCTGCTTGATGCCAAGGTATCCTCTCCTTGCCAGCAACGGGGACAGCTCAGTCTGTTCATGACCAAGATGCTCCAGGTATTTGCGGTTGGACACCATCAGAGACAGCGCCCAGCAAGGGGACCTTCTCCCCGCGCCCACAAAGCTGATCTCACGCCCACAAACCACCGCCCCGCTCTGCTGCCCAGGGAACAGAAAAGCCTGCTCATAAATCAGAAATAAAACGAACCTGGCATCTTTGGCAAGCAAATTAAATTGTGGGCTTTGGAGGAGTGTTTCTGTTTAGCCTAATCATTAATAAATCAACAGGAGCCGTAAGGAAGAGGAGCGGGGCTGCGCCCCATGCTGTCCAAAGGGATGGAGAGCTGTGGGGCAGCCCGCTCCATCCCCTGTGCCCCTGTGTCCCCTCGGGCACCCCAGGGAGAGCAGGGGGAGCCCGGTCCCACCGCTCGCTCCCCACCACCCAGGGCTCACCCGCCCCCGGGGAGAGCTGCAAGGCACAGGTTAATACATCAGTCTGTCTCCAGAACAAACGGTTTGCTTTGTGCGCCTGACAAAAGCCTGTTGTAAATGGCAGCCCCTCACCTCCTCTTCTGAAAGGCTTTTAATTAAAACGTGGAAGGGGCTTTTCTGTGTACTTAAAAAACCCCAACACCTAGTTAGATTTCAGCACATGCCCATTTCAGGCATCAATTTACTCTCACCTTCCTGCTGCATTTCCACGCGTGTTCCCCTGATAC